GAGAGAGAGAGAGAGAGAGAGAGAGAGATTAAGATGCAAACTACCCAAGGCCTTTAAAAATTTAAATGCCAATTAACGGTTTTATGAATAATATTTGAGCATAAATGGTTACGAAGGTCGTGGATGACCATGGGTATTGGCAGCTATCATAACACACTCATTAATAATTACATTTTAATAACATTATCGGCAAATATTACGAAAATTTTGATAACAAAAATTCGGTTTTTAACAAAATAATTACATTTATTTAATGACAGATCGAAATTGATTACAGAAAAGCAAACATTTATTAAACCTATCATTGAGTGTCACATCAAACGAAAAATCACCATAATTTCAATATAATAAATCTCTCTCTCTCTCTCTCTCTCTCTCTCTCTCTCTCTATCTCTCTCTCGAGTTATATTATAGCTATAGATATACATAGAGGAGGAAAACTTCCAAAACTTAATGCAAATCTTATGCACTTATTCTACACGAAAACATTTTATATTTAATTATCATAAAAAGTGTTATAACTTTTAAAATAAAAGTTAGTTTAAATTATTATTATTTTTTTAATGCTATTAAGAGATAATAGTTTTAAAGCATATTTTGGGAAATACAATATTAATGTATTTTTAATATACATTATGAACGATAAACCTAAATGTAATTATTTTATCATCACTTTTGTATTTTGAATTCATTTTTAAAAATTATAATTTAATTTTTTGATACAATAAGCATTGGAAATAAATTTTGAGTTTTAATCCGATTATTTGATTGAATTTTATTGAAATGTATTTAATTTGTTATTTATTATTGAAATGAAAAATAAGATCATATTTTGACAAAAATAAATGCTTTTATCAATTAATTATTGAAAGTTATAAATGCATTCAATATGGTATTGATTAAAGCCTTGTTTTATTTTACGTGTATTTTGTTTTGAATACAACCGATTTTGTAGGACAACCGGTATTGTAGGTGTGTTTGTGATCACTTGTATTATTCATATTTATCATATTCAAGGCATTAATCATTTATTTATTCAATTAAATATAATATCAATAATTTTTATATACATTTATTAAACGAATTTTAATATTCATGAATTCCGTTAATAAAAGTTTACACAATCACCTTTCTATAGTAAAATGCATATAGCCTAGGTTAAATTAAATGATATAACAAAACACATATATAATTATAATAATTAATATAATATAATAATTAATATAATAATAAACTGAATTTAATTATAAATGCAAAAAATAAAATAAGACAATATGTAAAATTATAATACCATGTTAATCTACAATAATTCTAATTTCAGTGCTCATTATTAGAGCTTTTTAAACTAGATGCCAAAAAACAGTTTATGAATATTAATCTAGTTTAGGTTAACTCCTATTTGTGGCTATAAATGGTCGATAATTGAGAGACAAAACAACAAAAACCAAACACCAAATTAGTTTAACAGACAATTAAAAAATTTTTGCACGTAAAAAATCAAACCCAAGGATTGAGTGATTATTATAATTGTAAACATAAAAAACAATGTAATTATGGATTAGAAAAAGATTAGTATAAAAAGCGATCACAGAATTGATATTACAATCAATACAACTATCCCTTTGATTATTACTATCACAAGTGTGTTAACACAGCTCCACATCAAACCTCAACATGAATTCAATTGTATGTAAAACATCGCTAAACCATGGATTAAACGCCGGATATAAGCCGTAAAATCTCTTTCAATTAAACCACTTATTGTTGTCCAACAGATCCTGTTATCAGCCCTGATATCGGCGGCCGTTGCCATCCCTCAGCACAGTTATGGCGGTTACGACGGCGGCTATGGAGGCGGTTATGATGGCGGCTATGGAAAGGGCGCTATCCTTGTGGCCGACGACGGCTACGGCAAAGGCGGTTACGGCGGCGGTTATGGCGGCGGTTATGGCGGTGAAGACACCTCCTATACCACATACACCAAAGTAGTGTCCGCACCGATCGTCAAGAAGGTTGTCTACGCCGAGCCCATCTATAAGAAGCAGATCGTTCACAGACCGATCTACATCTCCAAGCCATCGGTGGTCATCTCGAAGCCCATCTACACCAAGACCATTAAGACCATTACCCCGATCGTGACCAAGTCCTACGAGGTGTCTGAGCCCAAGTACATCTCAACCCATGGCGGTTATGAGAGTTATGGCGGTTATGGCGATGACTCCCACAGCGGTTACGGAAAGATCATTAGTTACGGCAAAGGATACTAAATATGATGTGCCATAGGATTACATGTCAAACACTGGATTCAAATATCGCAAGAATATTCTGTAGGGAATATTCTGTGCGAGAAATATACGGTAATTCCCAAAGATTCTCGACTATTATATGTGTTTTTTAAATATTGTCAGAAAAACTGAGTTTTGTTATGTTTGCCTCTAAACTATCTAGCTCTAAATTATTATAACTACTACTATTTAAATGTGTTGTTAATTTATTTGTAATAAACTACATTGTTTAATTATAATTTAATAAACTGAATTCAATACTCAATATATTGTTTGTGCTTAATTGTAACGAGTTTAACCATGGACATCGAAAGGTAGACCAATATGGTAGACCAGGTGAATCACCAAGAGTAAAACATTTTAACCTAACATGTTAATTGTTGTTAACATGTTAATTCAATTATGACTATAATTCTATATTATAGAATCTATAACAATGTCTGACTATAATTCAGACAGCAACTTTACCAGCATTAGAAATATCATATAAACCTTTCATGCAAAACAAATTAAATTATTACATGGTGAATTTTAAATAAAATCAATATTATCCGGTAGCTAATTTGTCAATTAGTTTCGCATTTAATTAATTTTTTAATCAAAAGTACAATATTTAATATTCATTTAAAATATAACAAATCCTTTATTTAAATTTTATAAAATTCAATAAAACTTTTCAAACAAATTCAATACTGTATTGACAATACACTATCTAAATACTAAAACATAAATAATTAAACAAATTATTACTAACCCTATTAAAATTAAACAAAATAACAATCATAATTTGCCTATGGTCACTTGACGGTCATTGTAGCGTCTGAAATAAGTCTTGCCACATTCAAACGTGGTGATCATGATGGCACAGCCGGGTGCTATACGCATAACACGGGGCCAAATGCCGGCAAACAGTCCCCTCAGACCCTTCTCTCGGTAAATGATGGCCAATATATCTGACGTTTTATATGGGTTTCGATTGGCCGACCCTTTGGCACCGACAGTGGTGTGTCCAGTCTGTCCCAACTCGGTTTGCCGGTGAGTCTTAACCACATCGAAGGGGTGAGTGACCAGACCGGACACTGTGCCGGCGGTGGCGCCGCACACAAAACTCACGGCCACGGGTGGCTCTACCGGGGCGTTGAGGCCGGCCTTCATCTTCTCGTAGACCAGCCAATAGATGGACGAAAAGGGCGCGTCTCGTAGTATTGTGGCGCAGGACACGAAAGTCTTCGGGCACTTATGGCACACGAAATGTCCCGTCCGGTTGTGAACAGTGCGCAAGTGGTCCGCCGTCTTGTCTTTGGACACCGACACGAACTGACAGTCACTCCAATTGCACCGAAAGCCCAGCGCCTGACCGGAAGTGTTGTTCAATTGGACCACTGGTTGGATATAAAGCGCGTTATTTAAGACAACAACTCAACACTCGAATCAAATCATACCCAGAATGAGACCATTGTTTGGATCACGTTTGGTGACAATGAGTCCGTCCTCTTCGACGAGACAGTCGTCTTCGGCCAAAAACTTCATATTAACCGCTGGTTTCTCGTTGTCGTCCGCTTCGGCGTCGGAACCGTTATCGCCGTCCGGACAGTAATCGCTAATCTCTTCGTCGGACTCTTTAAATCTCTTGGGTTTCCTCAGAGTTCTGAGACCAGTCTCGCGGACCGATTGCCTGTCATCGCAATCGCCGTTACCTCCAGAGTCGGCGGCCATGAGTTGTCGTTTCTGTTGGCTGTCTTCCAGCGACCGAAAGGCGGTGTCGATGTCAGCGTACTCAGCCAGCATGACAACCACGTTGAGGACCTGCTAGAGGACTATCCCATCGATGTCTCGCGAGACACACACGCCGTTCACATCCGTTAAGCACTTCTTGTAATTGTGGACCAATTCCACGCACTTCTGCCAAACAGACAATCCGTCCACGAGTTTGCGATTCTCCGCAGACAACTCCTCCACCAAATCCGTGACCGTTATTGAGGCCGTCATTATCACCGCAAACGGTTCCCACCGATCGGTTAACGCATTAATTGTTTATTCAATCCTTAAAACCAGTGATTAATTCAATTGTTTTCATAACAACTCTTTGTTTACCACTGTTTTACTCACGAAAAGCCATTCGTATATAACGTTATCGTAAATATAGTTTGTTTTTATACACCCCTTAAACCGTGTGTTTACAGCTGTTTTAATGGTGACCAACACTTCAAACTGTTTGCCCCCTAAATGAGTACAGTATATATGAATGGGTTTATGAAAAGTTTATTTTGCAAAACTTACAACATTTGCAAACAATTAGTTTAATTGATATAATAATTAAAATACAATTAAATGAATGCAATAACACGTGGACTATATATAGAGAGACAGCACTACTTATCGCCAACATTTGGTCACAGCATTCAACGGATGGCCATTTGGTCCGTAAGTTTGGCCACAATTTGTTGATGTCTATAGAAATGCCATCTATTTATAAACCATTGAATAAATCAGTGATTAATCACTTTTTGATTACCTCTTCAGGTGTTGCGGATCTGATGCAATAGTTGTGATGATTGTGTGACAAATAATATCACCACCACTGCCACGCTTTAAGGCACATCACTAAATCACTTCCAGCCGTCCGTCCGTCAACTGATCCAAACAAATGGGTGATAATAAGAATGCCGACCACAACTTGACACCTGTTCAGCGACTGATGAGCTCCTGTGTTGGCGCCACTGTCACCTCCCTCTGCAGTCAGTGTCCAACTATATTATCACCGATTGATTTAATATACTAATTGCATTACTCTCTTCGTGTGGAACCATTAGCCACTCCTCTGGATGTAGTGAAGACACGACTTCAAGCGCAGCAGAAGGCGACGCTAACTGTGACAAAGAAACCAACGGTGACCTCAGCGGTGGCCAAACAGGCGTCCGGACACTTCGGCGAGACCTTTGTTTGTATTGATTTCTTGACACAACAAAAAAACAGCAAATTTAACACAATATTTAACTTATATTAAAATTATATAAAATCCTTTGCAAACACTTCTAGTCAGCTCGCCTTCCGCACTGGCAAGACACCTCACCTGAGGGCCGGTGTGACAAAGTCCATTTTGTTTGTTATCTTAAATATTATTTTGCGATACAATTTGCTCTCACTTTTGGTCATAAGTGTACCATAAATACAGCCCTCTGTGTCTATCCCTACTTTAAGGTATCAGGGTAGTTTTAGCAATCATTATGGTTATTTATAAGGTTAATTATATTGTAGATATCGTACACACTATACGATTTACTATACAGAGTGAGAATATTTTGTATCGCAATATTTGTGTTGAAAAGTGTTTGAATATGCCTTTAATTACACTTAACTAAACTCCTGACCATCGCTGACATCACCACTACTACCATCCCTTTCCCTCCCAGAGTGATGGCAATACCGGGAACTGTACTCTATTTCACGGTATACGACGAGTTACGCGAATCTCTGTGCTGTCGGTTCCGGTGGTCGGCCGACAAACAGCCCCTATGGGTGCCCGTTGTGTGCGGCGGCGCCGCCCGAACGCTGACAGCCGTCACTGTCAGTCCTATCGAAATGATAAGAACTAAACTTCAGTCCCAACGCTTGACGTACGGCCAGACGGGTCGGGCGATAGCGGCTCTGGTACGGGCGCGAGGCTACCGCTCCCTATGGCGAGGTCTTAGCGCCACTATCGCTCGTGTTGTGCCCTTTTCGTGCATATACTGGGCCTCCTATGAGACCGCAAAAGTCCAGTTCAATGCCAATCCCAGAGAACCGACGTTTTGGGTGAGTTTCTGGTGCGGCGCCGGTGCCGGCACTCTGGCCTCACTGCTCACCACACCTTTCGATGTCGTCAAAACGCACCGACAGATTGATTGGTCGGCCGACGGGTCGTCCCAACGAATTGACCGCATTTTGGCCGCTATTTACCGATCGCAAGGACTGCGGGGACTGTTCGCCGGCGCCACTCCCCGGGCTCTTCGCGAGGCGCCCGCCTCTGCCGTAATGATCGGTGTGTTTGAAGTGTCGAAAGCGTATTTCCGGCGCACAAACGCCCGGCAATAGTGTTGTGTTTAATTCATTTATTGACTTTTATTTAGTTATGTTTACAAATTATTTGTTTTTTTTAGATATAGTTTTAATTACAATTACAAACGCTTATAATCTCATATTAAAACACTTTTCAAAACAAATTAATTAACTGTTAATTAAAAGTCTTGATTGAAACTAATATCCTTATTATTTCGCTGCTACAGAGCGCTGGTCATACCGGGCATTGGTATCTACTTTACATCGTACGATATGATGCGCGTACACCTGTGCCAGCGGTACGGGTACGGCGGGTCCGGACAGCCATCAACGCCCGCTTGGATACCGATAACGGCCGGGGGTTTGTCGCGAACTCTGGCCGCCGTTATCTTCAGTCCCATAGAGATGGTGCGAACGAAGATGCAGTCGACACATATCACGTACGGCGAAGTGGGCCGAGCGGTGCGCCATATGGTGGCCACACAGGGCTACCGTTCACTCTGGACCGGACTCAGCGCCACAATACTACGAGACGCGCCCTTTTCGTCCATCTATTGGCTGGTCTACGAGAAGATGAAGGCCGGCCTCAACGCCCCGGTAGAGCCACCCGTGGCCGTGAGTTTTGTGTGCGGCGCCACCGCAGGCACAGTGTCCGGTCTGGTCACTCACCCCTTTGATGTGGTTAAGACTCACCGGCAAACCGAGTTGGGACAGACTGGACACACCACTGTCGGTGCCAAAGGGTCGGCCAATCGAAACCCATATAAAACGTCAGATATATTGGCCATCATTTACCGAGAGAAGGGTCTGAGGGGACTGTTTGCCGGCATTTGGCCCCGTGTTATGCGTATAGCACCCGGCTGTGCCATCATGATCACCACGTTTGAATGTGGCAAGACTTATTTCAGACGCTACAATGACCGTCAAGTGACCATAGGCAAATTATGATTGTTATTTTGTTTAATTTTAATAGGGTTAGTAATAATNGTTTATAATGGCTCCAAATCTCTTCCGACAACTGTTTGTGTTTACCGGTGGCCGACACGAGCCCGTCGTCGCGCTTAATCGCTCGCTTCACTTCCATCGGACTCTTCAGACATACGAAGGTATGGCGCCGACACTTGACCGCGTGGTGACACCGTTGACACCCGCAGTACAGGCACTCAACCGCAGACTTAGAGCCCACTCCCGACACGTGCCTCCAGTGGCGCCAAATGTCGTCCAGTTTGTGTCGACTCGATGTTTGCGCGATGTGTTCGTATTGGTTGACACAACTCTTATCATCGGTGGCCACTTGTGTCGGGTCCGGTTCGTCACGACTATTATCATCATCGGTGGCCATCTCTCGTGTTTCTGCTTTCACATCTGAATCCTTTTGCCGCGCGAGACATCTGTCTAAGTGGTTCCGACACTTCCCCGCGTGTCTCAACTGTCTTTGGCCGCAATTCAGACACTCGACCAATGAATTGTTGCCCCGACGGCCGGCCGGCTTCCAGTGCTTCCATAGCGACTCATCTGATAGTCGGCCCATTAGTGGAGTTGATTATAACGGGTGGACACAACTGGACACAAATGGGCAGTGCTTTGAGTGATGGCCTGTAATAGACATCAAGTGATTGAATGCAGGATTCAATCAAAACAATGCAAAACTCACCACAAGT